GGGGCCCTAAGTGAAAACAGCTGCCCCCCTTTTTCTGCCAAAATGTTGCCTTTTTGGCCTGCCACGCCCCTCTCCTGTGCCCATCAAAAGACTTCAGCTGGCAGAGAAACACAAACACTGACTGACAGGGATAACAAGCACCTGAACAGCAAGCAGAGAAGCAACTGAGCGTCAGAGACTACTAACCGGCTTCGGGGAAAGATCACCTTCTTCCCGCACCATCCCTTTTCCAGCTCCCCTTCCACTGAGAGCCACTTTCACTACTCAATAAAGTCTTCTGCATTCATCATCTTTCAATCCATCCATGTGACCTGATTCTTCCTGGACACCGGACAAGACTCTGGGTGCACATATCTTACCAATAAGGACAGAGTAGTAAAGAAAGAAAGAAAAAAAAAGACTCTGGGTGCTGGGAAGGCAGGGACTTGGATGGTGCTGTGGGGCCTGCACAGAGCCTGCTCCTGCCAGAGAGGAATGACTGGCCAGTTCCAGCATTCGTTCCCTTGGGTTCCAGACTCACTTGCTTACAAGCTTCCTCTCACGAGGAGTGGCCAGCAGTGGGCTGAGTGAAATGAGCCACTCCAGTTTCCGCCCATGAAGAGGGCCAAGGGAACAATCCCATCTCATCAGGAGACTGGATGATGCGAGGAAAGTGGGGCTAGGTGCGTATTCCCTCCTCCCCTTCCCCTTCTGGTAGCTTCTCCTTGCCACCACTATCATGCCCCATAGCTTCCCGCTGGTGCTCCTCCTTGAGTGCTTCACCAGCTCTTGTGGGTTCTCCTAATGTTCGCCTCTCCTTGGCAAAACTTCCTTCCTTCAACTTGCCTGTGCCCTCTGCTTCCTGCACAGAGGCCATTGCACCCCAGCAGCTCCAGCATTCACTCATGGCTCCATAGCTGGGGATGGCCATGTTTACTGAACGCCCACTCTGCAGAAGCTGGGGCTGCATTGAGCTGGAGTCCCCAGCTATACAATGGGGATAGTAACAGCACCAACCTGGTTGGGATGTTAACCTATGAAACATGAGCTGAGCCAGCTTGTGGATCATGGAAACTGGAATAAACCCCCTTCAAGAGTAGGGAATTGAGTCGGGGTTGGGGAGGAGGGGCAGCTTTGGCTCCTTCCTCTCACAGGCATTGGACCGAGCCTGAGGGACCAGAGCCAGGGGTGCTGTTTCCCAGAGCTCACCGCCTCTCTGGGGACAGAGGAGGCACAAGATGATTCTGTTTGAGGGGGTCCCTTTGGAGCAACCAAGGGCAGCCCCCTGCCTAGTATGGTGACCAGTCAGCATGGGCCAGCTTTGCGGCTCCTCCTGCCCATTTCTTTGCTTTAATCAGTACAGAACATGGGATTTGGTTAAGCTAGGACCAGCCTGGGTGGACAGGGGAAGTCTTTTTGAGTTCTCTTTATTTGTTCTCATTCATTCATTCATTCATTATTATTATGGAGCACTCTGATGAACAAGCACAGAAGCCAAAAGTTGTGGGCCCAGCCTGGCATGGTGACTCAAGCCTTTAATCCCAGCACTGTGGGAGGTTGAGGCAGGAGAATCACTTGGGCCCAGGAGGTCGAGGCTGCAGTGAACCATGACTGAGTTACTATACTCCAGCCTGGGTGGCAGAGTGAGACCATGTCTAAAAAGAAAAAAAAAAAAAAAAAATTGTAGGTCCTTGAAGCTACCTGCCCAGGTGTGAAGCCTGGATGCAGCAGTTCCTGTTGGTGTGACCTCAGGCAAATGAATGAATGAATGAGTGTCTCTGTGCCTCATTCACCTTATATGTGAAATGAGATTAAAATAGTGCCTCCCTCAGGTTGCGGCATTGCCTGAGTTACTGTCTGAAATGCCTAGAACTGTGCCTGCCACATTGTCAGGGCTCCATACATGTTAATTGCTATTTTTTAATGTATATATAAGTGCTGGGAATACCGCAGATAACAGTGCCGACACGGTTCCCGTCCACCTGGAGCTGACACGCTAGCAAGGACTATGTAAAGACAGACATGTAGGCTATGCCTGATGCAGTAAGTGCTAAGAAGAAAAATAAAGCAAAGGAAGGGGACAGAGAGGGTTTGGGGTGCTGCCAGTTTGCAAGGTGGGTTGAGGAAGGCTTCTCTGAGGTGCCGGAGTTTGAGCAGACACCTTGGTGAGGGGAGGGCAGGACAGCATGGAACTATGGGTGGTGGGGTGGGATATCCAATTGGGAGAGTAACCTGTAGCCATGGAAAGGACGTTGACGTTATTTTTGTTTTTTTTTTTTTGATGGAGTCTTGCTCTGTTGCCCAGGCTGGAGTGCAGTGGCGCGATCTCGGCTCACTACAACTTCCGCCTCCCGGGTCCAAGCCATTCTCCTGCCTCAGCCTCCCGAGTAGCTGGGATTACAGGTGCATGCCACCACGCCCAGCTAATTTTTTGTACTTTTAGCAGAGACAGGGTTTCGCCATCTTGGCCAGGCTGGTCTTGAAATCCTGACCTCAGGCGACCCTCATGCCTCAGCCTCCCAAAGTGCTAGGATTATAGGCATGAGCCACCATTCCTGGCTGTTGGGTTTTATCTTCAGTGTGATGGGAGGGACCCAAGCTGGGGAGTGTGGGAATTTCCATAGCATCGTCTGGTCTAACACCAAGAAAACAGGCTGGGTGTGGTGGCTCACACCTGTTTTCCCAGCACTTTGGAAGGCTCAAGGTGGGAGGACGGCTTAAGGCCAGGAGCTTGATACCAACCTGGGCAACAAAGGGAGACTCCATCTCTGCAAAAAAATTTCTAAAAAATTTGCTAGATTTCTTGAGCTTGGAAGTTCAAGGTTGCAGTGAGCTGTGACAGTGCCACTGCACTCCAGCCTGGGTGACAGAGCCAGACCCTGTCCAAAAAAAAACCACAAAAACCACAGTTGGGAAGTTGAGCTTGCACCATTTCAACTTGGTAACTGCCTTGAGAGATAGGCAAGGTAACCATTATCCCCGTTTTGCAGAGGAGGTCACAGAGCTGGCTGGGCTGGGTTTGACACTTATCTAAGGATTATGTTGGACAGGGTATTTACTGTGGGAAGTTCCTGATAACCAGCTCGTTTGAATTTCACAAGACAGTCAAGGAAGTCTGGATTTAAAGGGGTAGATGTCTCTTTGTGGAAACTAGAGCAGCATGTTGAAAGCTGGGAGGTTGGGCTGAGCAGCTGCTCTGGGTAAACCTAAAGGCTGGGAGCCCTAGGAGTGAGCGTGCCTTGGTTCCACCGCTATTTTGCCATGTGAACTTTGAGCAGCCTCTGTCTCTCTCTCCAGCTCAGAATCTCCCTCCGTAAAATGAAGGGCTGGGCTGTGAGCTGTGTTCTGTTCTTTGCCTTTTCTCTTTTTTCTCCACAGGGTAACAGTACCACCTTGCCCTGGGTTGCCTGCAATTTCACAAAAGATTCTGGGCTGGGCACGGTGGCTCACACCGGTAATCCCAGCACTTTGGGAGACTGAGGTGGGCGGATCATGAGGTCAGGAGATTGAGACCATCTTGGCTATTAGGTGAAACCCTGACCATACTAAAAATACAAAAAATGAGCTGGGTGTGGTGGTGGCTGCCTGTAATCCCAGCTACTCGGGATTCTGAGGCAAGAGAATTGCTTGAACCCAGGAGGCGGAAGTTGCAGTGAGCGGAGATCATGCCACTGCACTACAGCCTGGATGACAGAGCAAGACTCCCTCTCAAAAAAAAAAAAAAAAAAATTCTGGACCTGTGTTTCCAAATAGAGTAGTTACCAGGCACAGGTGCTTCTGAGTACTTGAAACGTGGCTAGTTTGGGCTGAGGCGTACTAGGTTAAATACGTTATTAACATTCATTTTACCTGTTTCTTTTTACTCTGTGATTTGGCTATTAGAAAATTTTAAATTTATGTATGTGGCTTGCATTCTATTATTATTATTATTATTATTTATTTATTTTTTTTTTTTTGAGGTGGAATCCTGCTCTATAACCCAGGCTGGAGTGTGGTGGTACCATCTCTGCTCACTGCAACCTCTGCCTCCTGGGTTCAAGCAATTCTCCTGCCTCAGCTTCCCTCCCAAGTAGCTGGGATTACAGGTGCACACCACCACGCCCAGCTAATTTTTTGTATTTTTAGTAGAGATGGGATTTCACCGTGTTGGCCAGACTGGTCTTAAACTTCTGACCTCAGGTGATCGGCCTGCCTTGGCCTCCCAAAGTGCTGGGATTACAGACATGAGCTGTATTCTATTTCTGTTGGACAGCACTGCCTTACAAAGTTAAAAACCTTCAAGAACTAATTAAATTAATTCATAATTAAAATTGTGGCTCTCTCACCTCTGGGATCTGCCCGCTCCCCATGGGGCTCTCATAGTACTTACCACCTTCTTAAATACTATATAATTTAAATATCTGTTATATGTATTTCTTATTGTCTGCACCTCCTGCTAGAATATAAACTCTAGGAGGGAAGAGCGTTGTTTATTTTGCTCAGTCATGGGATTGGAACAATGCCAGGCAGCCAGGCTCGGTGGCCGGTGGCTCACTCCTGTAGTTCCAGCACTATGGGAGGCTGAGACAGGTGGATTGCTTGAGCCCAGGAGTTTGAGACCAGCCTACACAACATAGTAAGACCCCCCCCTCCATCTCTACAAAAAAATAAAAAAATTAGCCAGGGCTGGGCATGGTGGCTCATGCCTGTAATCCCAGCAGTTTGGGAGGCTGAGGTAGGTGGATCACTTGAAGCCAGGAGTTCACAACCAGCCTGGCCAACATGGTGAAATCCCATCTGCACTAAAAATAGAAAAATTAGCCAGGCGTGGTGGTGTATGCCTGTGGTCCCAGCTACTTGGGAGGCTGAGATGGAAGGATCACTTGAGCTCAGAAGATTGAGGCTGCAGTGAGCCATGATTGTGCCACTGCACTCCAGCCTGGACAGCAGAGTGAGACCTGGTATCTACTCCTCTCACTGCAAAAGAACAGTGCCAGGCACATAGTGGGTGCTCAGTAGACAGTGAATGATGGATGAGCGTAGTCAAGGAAGAATACAGTTTTCTTTTTTTAAGTGGACAGGAAGAGTATATTTATTGGTGGGCATAATTTATTGGGGGCAGCACAGTGGAAGCCCTCATGAGCATAGGGCTTGCCACTTCTTCAGGGCCATGACTGGGGATGTGTTTGACTCTATAGACATCTGGGATGAGCTGTTGCTCAGCCACCACATCTTCAAATTCATCTGCATTGAACTTGGTAAAACTCCACTTCTTTGAGGTATGGATCTTCTGGAGGCCAGGGAACTTGAACATGGCCCTACGTAGGGCCCCAATCACATGCTCCTTGTCCTGCAGCTTGGTGTGGATGAACGTGATGACTTGGCCAATGCGAACCCTGGCCACAGTGCCCTGGGGTTTTTCAAAGGCACCTTGCATGCCTGTCTGAAGCCTACAGTGGGGACAGTGCTAAGGTCAAAGACTGTCTCCACAGTCCCTTAGAGCAAAAATCAGGGTGTCTATGCAATGAAGGAAGCTGTTTGCAGCCATCACACATGGAGCCCTCAGTAGTTTCCATAGTGGCCAAACCTTCAATTTTTCTAGAAATGTCCTAAATACAGATTTTCATGTGTAATCTCCAGATTTTTCTATGTTGTCAGTAATTCAAATGACCTTAAAGCATTGTGTACACCAACAGAGACATTTTTTTTTTTTTTTTTTGAGGCAGAGTTTCACTCTTGTTGTCCAGGCTGGAGTGCAATGGCACAATCTCGGCTCACTGCAACCTCTGCCTCCCAGATTCAAGCAATTCTCCTACCTCAGCCTCCCGAGTAGCTGGGACTACAGGCATGTGCCACCATGCCTGGCTAATTTTGTATTTTTAGTAGAGATGGAGTTTCTCCATGTTGGTCAGGCTGGCCTTGAACTCCTGACCTCAGGTGATCCACCTGCCTTGGTCTCCCAAAGTGCTGGGATTACAGGTGTGAGCCACTGTGCCCAGCCCAACAGAAACATTTCTGCAGAAGTTTTGGCTACCTGTCTGTACTCCCTGTGGTCCAGATGATTCCAGAAACTGATATAGGAGGCCAGGTGGGGAGGAAACTGATGTGGGGAGAGTGTGGACCTGGACCCTGCAAATCTGCCTGTCCCAGAAAACTTTACCTTCTGGGCCAATATGCATCTAAGTGAGTAGTAATTAAGGAATGACCTCCATCTCCTGCAGCCCTTCCTCTGGTATGTCTACAACTAAAAAGAAGGCAAACTACTTTTTTATTTTTTATTTTTTAAATAGACACAGGGTCTACATTAGTCCATTTTCATACTGCTATGAAGAAATACCTGAGACTGTATAATTTATAAGGAAAAAGAGGTTTAATGAACTCATAGTTCGACATGGCTAGGGACACCTCACAATCATTGTGGAAGGCAAAGGAGGAGCAAAGGCACATCTTGCATGGTATCAGGCTAGAGAGTGTGTGCAGGGGAACTGACCTTTATAAAATCATCAGATCTCATGAGACTTATTCACTATCATGAGGACAGTATGGGAAAAAAACCCCACCTCCATGATTTAATTACCTCCCACCAGGTCCCTCCCACAACACATGGGGATTATGGGAGCTACAATTCAAGATAAGATTTGGGTGGGGACACAGCCAAACCATATCATTGCACCTCTGGCCCCTCAAATCTCATGTCCTCACATTTCAGAACCAATTATGCCTTCCCAACAGTCCTCCGAAGTCTCGACTCGTTTTGGCATTAACTCAAAAGTCCACAGTCCAAAGTCTCATCTGAGACAAGGCAAGTCCCTTCTGCCTATGAGCCTGTGAAATCAAAAGCAAGTTAGTTACTTCCTAGACACATTGGGGCATTGGGTAAATGTGCTTGTTCCCAATGGGAGAAATTGGCCAAAATGAAGGTGCTATAGGCCCCAGGCAAGTTTGAAATCCAGTGAGACAGTCAAATCTTAAAGCTCCAAAATGACCCCCTTTGACTCCATGTCTTACATCCAGGAAAGAGGTAGGTTCCCATGGTCTTGGGCAGCTCCCACCCTGTGGCTTTGCTGGGTACATCCCCCCTCCTGGCTACTTTCATTGGCTGGCATTGAGTGTCTGAAGCTTTTCCAGGTGCACAGTGCAAGCTGTTAGTGGATCTACCATTCTGGGGTCTGGAGGTTGGCGGTCCTCTTCTCACAGCTCCACTAGGCAGTGCCCCAGTGGGGACTCCGTGTGGGGGCTCCCATTCCATATTTCCCCTCTGCACTGCCCTAGCAGAAGTTTTCCATGAGTGCTCCACCCCTGCAGCACACCTCTGCCTGGCATTTCCATACATCCTCCGAAATCTAGGCAGAGAGGTTCCCAAACCTCAATTCCTGACTTCTGTGCACCTACAGGCCTAATGCCATGTGTAAGCTGCCAAGGCTTAGGGCTTGTACCCTTCAAAGCAATGGCCCAAGCTGTATGTTGGCCCCTTTTAGCCATGGGTAGGACACAGGGACCAAGTCCCAAGACTGCACAAAGCAGCAAGGCCCTTGGCCTACCCTACAAAACCATTTCTTCCTCATAGGCCTCCAGGCCTGTGATGAGAGGGACTGCCATGAAGACCTCTGACATGCCTTCTAGACGAATTTTCCCCATTGTCATGGCGATTAACATTTGGCTCCTCATTACTTCTGCAAATTTCTGCAACTGGGTTGAATTTCTCCCCAGAAAATGTTGTTTTTTTTTTTTCTATCACATTGTCAGTCTGCAAATTTGCTAAACTTTTATGCTCTGCTTCCCTTTTAAACATAAGCTCCAATTCCAAATCATACTTTTGTGAATACAAAAAACTGAGTGCTTTTAAGAGCATTCAAGTCATCTCTTGAATGCTGCTTAGACATTTCTTCCATCAGATACCCTAAATAACCTCTCTCATGTTCGAAGTTCCACAGATTTCTAGGGCAGGGGTGAAATGGTGTGAGTCTCTTTGCTAAAGCATAGCAAGAATCACCTTTGCTTCAATTTCCAATGAATTCATTGTCTTCACCTGAGACCACCTCAGTCTGGTCTTCATTGTCAATATCACTATAAGCATTTTGGTCAAAACCATTCAATAAGTCTTTTGGAAGCTCTGAACTTTCCCATATCTTTCTGTCTTCTTCTGAGCCCCCAAAACTGTTCCAACCTCTGCCTGTTATCCAGTTCCAAAGTTTCTTCCATATTTTCTGGTATCTTGACAGCAGTACCCCACTGTACCGCTATCAATTTACTATATTAGTCCATTTTCATACTACTATCAAGAAATACCCAAGACTGGCTAATTTATAAACAAAAAGAGGTTTAATGGACTCACAATTCTACATGGCTGGGGAGGCCTCAGAATCATGGCAAAAGGCAAAGAGGAACAAAGGCACATCTTACTTGGTGGCAGGCAAGAGAATGTGTGCAGGGAAACTGCCCTTTATAAAATCATGAGATATCATGAGACTTATTCACTATCAACAAAATAGCACTGGAAAAACCCACCCCCTTGATTCAATTACCTCCCACCAGATCCCTGCCACAACACGTGGGGATTATGGGAGCTACAATTCAAGATGAGATTTGGGTGGGGACACAGCCAAACCATATCAGGATCTTACTATGTTGTCCAGGCTGGTCTTGAACTCCTGGGCTCAAGTGATCCTCCCTCCTTGGCCTCCCAAAATGCTAGGATTACAGGCATGAGTCACTGTGCCCAGCCTAAACTGCGTTTCTTATGTTCACACAACACTTCTGACTCCAAATTGTGGGTTTTCTACACCCCAAGCAATTCTCTAATTCTTGGAACACCAACTGTGTGTCCTAAGATTCAATTCAATTCTAACACTGGAAATAGCAGCAGATCCCACAAGTAAGGGGCTCAGCCCCACAAGACTACCCCATTTCAGATGCCAATCACTAGTCCAGGCCTTCTGTCCTTCTGACTGATAAGCTATAAACTGGGGGTTCCCATGACCCTTCCTTTAGGTATGATCATTTTCGATAATGGCACATAGAACTTAGGGAAACACTTTACTTTCATTTACAGTTTATTATAAATGATGCAACTAATGGAAACATGCATAGGCCAAGATATTGGAGTTGGGGTGGGGCTTAGAGTTTCCATGCCCTCTCAAGGTGAACCACTCTCTCACCAGCCCCTGGAAATGCTCTGAACCTTTAGGGTGTTTACGTAGGCATGATTGGTTAAATCATTGGCCATTGGTGATTGAACTCAATCTCCAATCCTCCCTGGAGGTCGGAGGCAGTTGAAGAGTGTGTGCGTTTTAGCGTGAGATAGGCCCACCCTCTCTAATTACACAGTTGTTCCCTCTGGCAACCAGCCCTATTCTGAAGTTATATTATAGGGGCTTTCAGTCACCAGTCATCTCAGGAACGACGAAAAGACACTTATCTCTCTGGAGACACCGGGGGTCCCAGGAACTCTTGGGTTGGGAACTTGGGGATGTTGACCAAAGAGTATAAAGTTTCTGCTGGATGTGGTGGCTCATGCCTGCAATCCCAGCACTTTGGGAGGCCAAGGCAGGTGGATCACTTGAGGCTAAGAGTTCAAGACCAGACTGGCCAACATGATGAAACACTGTCACTACTAAAAATACAAAAATTACCCAGGCGTGGTGGTGTATATCTGTAACCTCAACTACTTGGGAGGTTGAGGCAGGAGAATCACTTGAACCCAGGAGGCAG